ATTGTATGCGGCCGTCGAGCGTGCGGCCGTCGACCGCCGACCGGGGGCCCGGCCAGGATGTTGACCCATGAAATCGGCATGCGCAGTGCCAGGTTGGCGACCTTGCCCTGCAGCTCCCGCGCGATCTCCTTCATCGACATGATCCAGTACCTAGCACCGCCTCAGGGCCGTTGTGGAGCCCGCCCGCTCTGGCTAGTTTGCGCGCGATGCCTGCCGCGGCGCCCGACTTCTTTTCCGACGCGCTCCGCCGCGAGATCATCGGCAGCGAGCAGCGGCGCATGCGGGTGCTCGCCCTCATCCTGGCGGCGTTGCTTGCTCTGTCGCTGGCGGTCGCCAATCTCTTCCCGTCCTACACGTCCCGCATCTTCGAGCGCGATGTGCCGGGCTGGCTTCCGTTCATCGGCATCGGTCCCTTCCTGCTGTACGAGCTGGGCTCGCTCACCTTCCTCGGATATCGCGCATCGAGGGGCCTGGATTTCCCGCGGCTGGGACGCTTCGGCAATGCCTTCATAGAGACCTCGCTGCCGGCCGCGATCATCATCACGCTCAGCCACTACATGGATCCGCTGCTGGTCTTCAGCTTCTGGCCGCCGTTGCTCTATTTCATCTTCATCCTGCTATCGACCTTGCGGCTCGACTTTCTGGCTGTCGGTCTGGACCGGAAGTGTCGCGGCCGTGCAGCAGATGGTGCTGGTGCTGTGGCTGCTGCCGATCGAACCGTGGGCCAACATTCCACAGGAAACACTGCTGTTCCACTTCAGCCGGACCCTCGTCCTGTTCACCAGCGGCCTGGTTGCCGGGTTCGTTGCCAACAGCCTGCGCAGTCAGTTCGAGAAGTCGGTGCGCGCGGTGGCGGCGCGCGACCGCGTCACCAACCTTTTCGGCCAGCATGTCTCGCCGGCGGTGGTCGACCGGCTGCTGGCCACGCAAAGCGAGCCGCCGAGCGAGATCCGCACCGTCTGCGTGCTGTTCCTCGACATCAGGGGCTTCACCGCGATGACCGCCGTCGCTCGGCCGAGGAGACGGTGGCGCTCCTCAACGCGTTCTTCGCGCGGATGATCGACGTC